TAGAGCAAAATTTAGTACTGTCTGTCTGTTTTCGACGTAGAACTTTGCACCGATGTGCAGCAGTTCAAGTCGCCACACTCCATGTAGCACACAAAGCAAGAGGAGAAAGTAAAAGAAATGCATAATAGAGACAGTAGACAAGGATATGAGACAAAGAAGTAGTAATAACGAAGAACATTATAGTTTCAAGGAGTGGATGCATCTGCGCCATTGAGAACGATTTTGAACCATATCACCAATTGTCTCCAGCCATTGGTTTTTACCCACCCGAGGACCCCAACCAGGAAGTCTACACCTTCGCACGTGGCCTAAACTAACTATTGTGGATTTCATTGACTGGTGCCATGTTTTCGTTTGACCGCCGTTAGCTCTTTTCCAGCCTGACCCTATGTCAGCTAACATTGCCCATTGTCGAGGAAGGCGATGACTAGGCATACGTAACACAAACCAAGTCCTAACCATCTCAGTCGATGTAACTTCACAGCCTCGTCGATTGATTTCCCCTCCTTACCTAGCACTCTACCGAAGCCTAACCTCAATATTGCTCACCCTATTATACCACTTCACACGGGAGATAGAACGCAGGCACCTATGATCAAAGACAGCTAATCTTTTCATGTCTTCTACTTTCAATGGCCAGGTCTCACAGCCATAAAGGAGGACTGAGTGGACTGCTGAGCAGTACACACGCCTTTTGGTCGATAGCCAGTCGGATATCACGTCTACGCCAGAGACGGCGTAAATTGGCATATGCGAAACTAGCCCTCTGTATCCGTCCTGAGATTTCGTCTGTGATCAGCCCGCTGGGACTGGCTGATGCAACTTCCTGAATAAGTGAAGCGGTTAACGTGCTCTACCACTTCACTCTCTGTTTCTAAGCTAGGAGTCAGTATAGTCCAGTCCTGTAGCATCATCTTACATTTGGTGGGAGCGAATCGCATGCCAAACATTCGTAGATTGCAGCTCAAGGTTTTAAGAAGACCCTTTCTGCACTTTGTCAGTGTTTTCACCTAGGAGGGCGGACTATATCATCTGCATATTCTAAGTCAACGAGATTATTTCCTGGTAACAAGTCAATCCCTGAGTCTCTGAAGTGAGTTAGGGTTAAGTCCATTAGAACATTTATGATGAAATTGAATAGAAATGGGGATAATGAGTTGGCATCCCTGACGGACACCACTAGTTGTCACCACTTCAGATGACAAATCGCCGTAAGCCCTCACCTGGCTGCATGATTTCGAGTAGAGTTCCTTGATCAGTGCAATGTATTTTCTAGGCATTTCCTTTACAGCCAAGCATCGCCAGAGTACCTTTCGGTCGACAGAATCGAGTGCTGCATTTAAGTCAAGAAATATAACGATTGTTAGACGCCGGTAAGAATGCCTACTTAGTACCCTTTGTAGGATTCTCTGGCTAACGTAATTCGTTTCCGAGTGTATTGGTGGGTTTGAATGTCACATGTATTCTCGCTTTAGTAAAAATCCCACCTAAGGTTTCAGAGGTTCTTTCTTTGCATGGTATAACTACTGACGTTTTAAATTTCCCCTTCTTGGCGCCTTCATCATTCCGCATATACTTGGCATTGATGCCATCCTTATTGGAAGCATTATTCTTATTCATTCATATAGTCTCTTATATATACTTCGGGATAAATTTACCAAGGGTAATTATTATTTGTCAAAACTTCCCTTATGTGTTTTACTTCCGGTAGTAAATTTTCTTTGTACAATTTTCGCTGTTTTGCATTGACATTTTTTTATTCCTATGCGTTCCCAGTGGAACGTAGAGGCTAGAAGTTTCGGTAGCAGTGGTGTTTATTTTTACGTGATGGGATTGCTAGCCTCACGCCTAATCTACCCTCTTTACCAGTCTTATCACTGGATTAGCGAGATAAAGGAGTGTGTTTGTGTCTGGTGATCGAAGCCTGGAATACATGCATGGTTTGCGAGCATTCTATCGCAGGTTAATGATATTAGATGGTTGGAGGCAATCGGCAGGAAGCCTCGGACCTAGGTTTCGTGATAGTTGGCACTCGTCAGCAAGGCACATCTGCAACCTTGAAGGAACTCATGTCCCTAGGTCCAAGGCTTCCTGCCAATCGCCTCCAACCATCTAATATCATCAAATCAATGTGCACCGTCATGGCGAGCTACCTAGAATGGTGGCCACATTACAAACATGACTGATAGAATTCAGTCTGCACCAAAGAAAGTACTAGACACATCACACTAGTTACTAGTGTCCAATCAAAGTAACCAGTTAGTTGCATAACAGTGTAGTGAGTTCAGCTCAAATCATAGGAACAAACAAACAAGGCAAATTACACCATAGCGAAAGGGGAAAAGGTTAAGGCTAAAATTACCTAATGAAACGACAGCAAGAGTAAAGAAATTTAGGCAAGGAAAGACTGGCAACTGCTTCTTTCTAAATACATAAACCAGGTTTTAAGCCATCGATAGCAACTGCCTCGATAAACCTGAGCAGCACTCAGTTATATTTTCTATTGATAATTTTGAAGGATAACAGGGGGTCAACCGCATGACTTCTGTATCAAAGAGATGCCTAGCAGTAGCATTATTGAAAGTATTTGTTCCTTTTAGACGTAAGTGTTTTGGAACATGTTCAGAGAATTGAAGGTGTACCCCTGTTTCTATTCTTCCAAATTAAATTGAGAACTAAACATACATATCACCCTTTTTTTAAAACACTGTAAGGAAAAACACGGAAGTAGGTTTCACCTTTGTACAAATAAACAGCTTAACCTGTCAGCGGCTCATTAAGTCTTTTCGGATTTTTAGTGATTAACAATGAAAACTGCTTCTCAGAATGTATGTAAAGTCACGTTTTAATTTGTTGCGTAGCCGATTTTTTTTAAATTACCAAAAATAATAAAAAAAAATGTAGAATCTTGAACATTGTCACAGTATTTCTGTTTCCCACTGGGAAATATAATTATTCCTACTGATGATGAACTTATAAATAAATAATCATATTTTTACGCTTTATAATTGTTATTCTAAAATAGTTTTATTTTCATCTGGAATATAATTTTATTGTAAACTTGTGTATCTCTAGGTATGTTTCCTATCAAGTCATCACAGTTAGAAGGGCGGTAAATGAAAACGTCAGGGTATAAGAACAAAACAAAGAGAAAATGATTACCTTTACTAGGTTTTATTGGTCTGTCTCACTCTAGCGCTTATCCGGTCCACAGAATACGTGTATGCTGAAATATGAATGTATGTATGATTAGTATTAGATAGTTGCAGGTAATCGATAAAATTACTCTTGGACCTGGATTCTGAGCTTATCAGCATTCATTAGCAAAGCTTATCTGTTATCCCGAAAGAAGTGAGATCTCATTAGAGACCCGAACTCATCCCCACATCTCAACCACTGCTGCAGTCAGAGATTTCGCTACTAAACTATTGGGATCGTCAGTGACCTCTTTATTGGTCAATATAGAATGGTTGATGTTATATGTCTAGTCCTTAATACTGACTGAACTCTAACAGAAGGTTGGTCACCATCCGAATAACACAGTGGCAATGTTACTGACTGCGGCACTAGGTGAAGCAGTTTCGAATTTCTGAGTGGACACTGACTATTTTGCGATTGCATGTATGCCCAGTATTACATAATCAAAGCCTTCCATCGCCTAACGTCACCGACTACAAGGCAAGCTTGTAGACCATTCAGACAATGGAACCCGACTCAATGGTTGGCCCATGAATTCTAACTTCTACCAATTCCTGATTTCTAGTGCGACCACTAACCAATGACAATGGTGGGAATTCTATCCTCACTCCCAACAGGATGGACCCCTTGGTGACGACTTCTCACTAGAACTCTAGGAAACTCCGTTTTGTAGGAAAGTGACTGGCAAGCATAAGATCAATTTTCAAGAGTTGTTTTATAAGGATTAGATTTGTTTTTCGAGTCTGATCACGAATTGTTTGAAGTTAGAATTCATGGGCCCGCTATTGAGTTGGGTCCTAGTGGCTGAATGGTCTACGAACTTTTCTTGTAGGTGGAAGGTCCTGGTTCAAAACCTTGGCGGTGGGTGCGTACTGACGATGATTTCCAAACTAGGATGAAACAGCTGTCTGGCAGTACTCCTTGGTTTTCAGTGGTCAAACTCCATAAAGATAAATTAAGTGTTTATATCCTCCTGATTTTTAATAGCTCTTTCATCAATACAAATGGGATTGAAGTGTCTAAGATACTAACTCAATGACAACCTTGATAGACATTTGAATATTCCTCCAGAAATAAGGTATACATTTTATGTTATTTATTAGATAAGGGCGTGGTAAAATACCCAGTAGGTTAGATAGAGATTAAACTCATGTTCTAACATGAAAACTTAAAACTTAGTAATACTGACAGACTGTACGATATCTCACTGCCTGTATATATTTACAATTGAGTGTTTGCGTATATTCAGTTAAAGGTAGATAGGAGTGGTCGAATATTGTGATGACTGGTTTCTCTAAACGCCCAGGAAAACAGCTGTATTCAGATTTGGGTGGTGTGTAGTCAGGTTAACTAAAATGAAAATGCATTGCCGCCTCTCCCTCCCGTGTCCTTACATGTCCGAAAGTAGTTTGTTCTTGCCTTATAACTTCCGTAATAATCTATATTTCGTCTTGGTTTGAACTATCTATCTTTGAAGCTTTCATATTTTATCAATAGTAAATCCTTCGAGTAGACGAATTTCACTTGCTCGATTCCCGAATGACGTACTCCTAAACCTCGCCTGCCTTACTAGCTAGTAGTAAAGGAGGATAGATTGTAAATATTTTATTTTCAAAAAGAAATAGCCGTCCAGTGCTTGGATTACTTCTGTCTGGTTAGCACAGTACTATGGTTTCAGATGACTGATTGATTGTCTTCCACCTACTCATATCAACCAATCAGTAGTACATCACCATCACACCAACCAACCCACGAACATCTTTTTTACTTTATCATTTCCCATTTTTTCCATTTATTTTTAGGTGATCCAATTGCAGACGCATTTGTTGTAAGAGCTCGACATGATTCTGCATACTTGGCAGTTGCTGATGGAGTCAACTGGGGCACTGAATCAATGAAAGCAGCAAGATCAGCAGTGTCAGCTATTTATGCCTACTTGGAATGTCATCTATTCGGTAGTATGAAAGATAAACACGAGATAAGAGATACAAGAGTAAGAATATGTATTCTGTTTATTAGTCAATTTTTGTTAATAATGTTTAATGACTGTCAAAACCTGCATACACAATGAGTACAACATTAGTCAACTGCGGTGATGGTCATGAGGGTTTTGTGTATAGGGTATGGAAGATTATTACTTCCAAACTGCCCACACCGTGGAAGTTGGTCACTTCTTAGATTAGTTGCCTGACAGCAGAGCCAAAGGGACAACTCCTTGACACCGATCACACAGACGGCATATTCGGAGAGGTTTTTGGAGTTTCATCCGTATTAAGGTCTTACCACGGCAAGGTAAGTCCGGATGTGCAATTTTCGGTGGTAGACCTTTCTAACCACGCCGTCTCCAGAGTGGAGAGATGAAATAACTGGCTAGGTGGTCATCTGAGAAAAGCATCTTACTGGTGTGACCTTGCCCACAGACCCCCAACATAGTGTAAGCAACTATCACTACAGTGGTAACTGCTTTTAGTCTAGCCACTATCTAAACGACACTTCTGGCATGGTAGGATCAGTTCAAGGCAGTTCAGCTCACTGGATTACTGCAAGCTCGACCCCCGCGTCAAGATAGCAGCTATCGATCGGAACCACATTATTTGCTGTAAAGGTCAATAATTACTTGATAATATGTGTCATGTATAACTTCGAATCACTTACGCTTGTATCAAAAGTCAGCAGATTTAATTAGTATACAGATAGATACTCAGTATGCTGACCACCTTTCTAAAATGTAAAAAAATTTCAGGAATAGATTATTCAGTGTTGTTGACTGCTTTCAATTAAATTCATAATCAGCCGACTGGATTACACATTCACTAGGTGTGTATGCACCCAATAAAGTCTGGACTTTGGATAGATGTGATTATTTTCACTCCAAAAACACACAACACAGACATGAAACATGAACAACTAAACCAGCATACTTGTTCCAATTTTTTTTGTATTCTTTGATTCTTTTGTTAGCTATTTTGTGTAATATGATCCTGTATCCAACATTTGGCACAGGTCGAATTTCTCCAAGACCATAAATGATATACAAATAAATTCATTAATTTCTCTAGTTTATTCAACAGATTCGTTTATTACAAGTTTTTATTGGACTAAGTATATTTGTAATATTTTTCGTTCTATTCAAATCTACTAATGTTACCTTTGTGGAGATATGCTTCACTAACATAGGGAAACGAGAAGACAGGGATATCATGGACCGACGTGAAGAACCTAGAAGACCTGGATTTCGCGCGTGGATGATTTATGTTTGATGTCACACAAAATCGAAGACTTACAAGCGAAAACCGACAAACTGGTCGAAGAAGCAGCAAAGACAGGACTCCAGGTGAACATAGACAAACAAGACGGAGGTTATGAAAATAACCAACCAACAACAACAACAACAGCAGCAGCAACATCCAGCGCCAATCACCATCAACGGGAGGGATTTGAAAGAGGTTACTTCATTCACTTATCTAGGGAGCATTGTCTCAACTACAGGAGGAACGGACGAGGATGTCAAATCGAGAATCGGGAAGGCGAGAAACACATTCATCAACCTGAAACCAATCTGGAAATCTTCCGCTCACTCAGCATCAACAACAAAATTCGGATTTTCAATACAAACGTCAAGTCAGTCAGTTCTTCTATACGGATCAGAAACTTGGCCAGTGTGTCACAAAGAATATTTCCAACAGCCTGTTGCAGACCTTTATCAACAACTGTCTTCGTCGCTCTATACTGAAGATCAGATGGCCGGAAAGAATCACCAACAAGAAACTATGGGAACAAACAAAACAAGAACCAATCGCCCAACAAATATGCAGGAGAAAGTGGAGATGGATTGGACACTCACTGCTGAGGAGGCCCTCGAGTGGAACCCGAAAGGGAAGCGGCGAGTGGGACGTCGAAGGGTGACATGGAGGAGATCGTGTGAAGAGGAGTTGAAACAGTATGGACTAACATGGATGCAGGTGAAAAGTACAGCAGAAGACAGAAGCAAGTGGAGACGTGTAGTTGAAGCCCTATGTTCCACTAGGAACCCAAGGGAACAATAATAATAATAACATAGGTGGTCAAGTCTCAACCAGTGGGTCCTAGGTTCGAATCCCACCCCACCTGGTTACTTCAGCTTGGCCAACAACTGGATAGTATCATCATCTCTCACATACACACAATGAGTGGGGACTCATAGCCTGGAACATGAAAAGCTTGTGTCTTTGAATAACGACGAATGTTACGCAATAATTAAATAAACCAGCACCTATGATCTACTCAATTACGTAATATAAGTTGAGTTCTGCGTAAAATAGCCTAACAGTAATAATTATCAAAATATAAAAAGTATACTAGTGTTCTGGAACGATGGAGAAGATTTCCAGCTTAAATGGATGTATTTAGTGCTGTTCTGTTCTCTGAACTAGATGGTTCAATTGAGAAGCTTTCGTTGCCCTTCTAGACAATACATCCAGCGCTAATTTCAGTGTGTGTAGTAAGCATTTGGAGTTTCCCATAGATGAAGTATCCGTCTTCACAGATGACTATGATTAGTCCTCGTGTAACTGAAATGTTAAAAATCCTCTTTAACTATTCACTCAGTCATTCTCTCAAATAAATAATTGTGTTTCCATTACAGCCGCTTCATGTGTCATAAATCTGTGTAAAAGTTCTTAGCTGATTCTTCAGTCATTCGTAGATGAGTATTCTTGTTTTAGTCAAGTCTCTGTAATGGACCTCAATAACCACTACAAGAAGAGTTTGAAATAATAGAGAAGATTTGTAGCTCAGGTGGATGATTTGCAATTATTAGTGTTCTCTGAGCTGGTTGGTTTAGTTGCGGAGCTTTCGTCGTCCTTTAAAATCCAAGTCAATAGAAAATGATTAATACATATGTAAAGATGGTTACCGGGAGACGCAATTATATCACTCATGAAAAATTTAAATCATTTCACTTTTTGCTAAATATTGCGCTGAAGATGTTGTCCAGAAGGACGACGAAAGCTCCGCAACTAAACCAACCAGCTCAGAGAACACTAATAATTGCAAAAGAGTTTGAGCATTTTCCATGAATTTCTGTTAGCAAACTGTAGGTCTACGGCAAAATGCAAGGAGTTGGAAAAAGCATCGAGGGTGGGTGAAACTAGACAATTATCTTGACTCATTAGAGAAATGGGTGTAAAGAAAACCAGTGTTAAGCGAAATAATTTCCAAGAAGGACGGTGCTTTAATTATCTCTCACTATAGAAGGTTAGAATGTTAAAGGGAGCACATTTATCTATGTGGGATGTAGAAATTGGTCCTGTAACTATTACTCCGGTTAAAACGGCTATCTCCAATGTCAAAAGAAGCACGGCAACTGAAGCTGATGGGATAACTCCAGAGGTGCTTAAGAATGGTGGCTATGAACTACTGAGTATCTGGGCTAACTAAAATATTAGATTATGTCTGAGACTCTGCAATAGTCCCATCAATAATTATCACAGTTCATAAGAAGGGAGACAAGCCTTCATGTGATAATCATAGAGACGGTAGCTTGACTAATATAAAGTTTTGGTGACAATAACTATGCGTAGACTAAACGGTACTCGAGAGAAACAAACACGTGGAAATTGATATAAGAATAAAACTTGTGCACTGTGGTAGAGTATAAGTCCATTATGGGTAAAATTTATTTTGATAAAGTCTCAGTGTTATGTAGTAATATTTGCTGATGACGTTTCAAGCACAATTTATTGCTCATAATCAAAACCTACTAGTTTGACCTATGCAGTTGACCTCACAGTTACACCTACAAACTCACTCAGGGACAAGCTCTGTAGGTTAAAGGACCCAGTTGACCCAATTAGACAAAATAATATAATTTACAAAATACCCTACAATGACTGTGAGTGAGGTCAACTACATAGGTCAAACTAGTAGATCGGGGGGTAGTCAGATTGTCGGAACATAAGAATTTAGCTAAGGTAAGAATGGTTGACCCCACTAGCGAAGATAAGTAATTTAGAAAAAGCTCAGCAATTGCACTGCATGCATTAACACACAAACACACAATAGGGTGCTTGGAGAGGGTTAAAATTCTAAGAAGTAATATAGGTAGATGGAGAGAGAGAGAGAGGTTGATTACTGAATCCTGACTGGTTCATCGAGTCTACACCCAACACGTGCAATAGGATGCAATGACTCATCACTCATACCGGAAATATGCAAAATACTACTACCAATCAAATCAAGCGATGGAAAATAATGGAATTATATAAACGAAGTTAGAAAGTTGTGTGAGAACCTTGATATGATTATGAGTGGCAATAAATTGTGCTGGAAACGTGGTCATCAGTAAATATCACTGTATGACACTATGAGACTTTATCAAAATAAATTTTACCCATAATGAAACACGTGGAAACCAGTCAGTCTATAGGCCTGGATGAGGGTGTATTGAACATATCGTCACCCTATGACTGATTCGGGGATAGAGGCAAAATTACTGGCGTCCAGCATTTGATATATTTCTTAACCTGAAGGTGGCATTTGACTTCATCCACAGTGAAATGATGTGGTAATGTCTGGTCATATAAAGGGTGCCGAGAAAGTTTACAGCACTAAACGAGGCTCTCTGCCGAAATGCACGCATTCGTGTGAGAGCTTACGGAATGTTGTCGTCTGAAGTGATTACAGCCCTTAATGTCGACTAGAAATACAAACTGTCTCAATTTTTGTTTTTGTCTAATGATTCCCCTCAGTTGATAAATTTCATCATAAGTGTATTACTGAATGTGACCGTAATCGGAAAAGCAAGATAAACATACAGTACTCTGAAATCAGAGTGAAAATCTCCTGCAATCAGCATAACGGAACAAGATTTGGATTTCCAACACTAATGTCTAGTTAATCAGTGCCTCAATGTGGTTCAGAGACTTGGTGCGCCAAGAAAACCATTTCCAAAAGGCCAAGACAGATTTTCATCAACAGCCGCTTTCACTGACTCGATACTAAAGATCAAATGACCAGAAATAATGAGCAACATGGAACTCTGGAAACGAACCAAACATATATGCAGAAAGAAATAGAGATGGATTGAACACATGCTGAGAAGACCGTTCAGTAAGATCGCGTACCAGACGTCCTAGGGTTACATGGAGGAGATAATGTGGGTGGGGGTTGGGGAATGAAAGCTTGTGGTTAACTGTGGAGCCAGCTGAAGATGACTCCAGAGAACATAGTGAAGTGGTAATGTGCTTTTGAAGGCCCATGTTCCACTCGGAACCCACGGGAATAATAATTGCAAAACAGTTGAAAAGATGTAAAATTCAGTTCAACACACATTTTTACCACAAGTACATGATTTTATGATAGAATATGTTGAATGAATAATAAATGAGATGGTTTTTTGTGTGTGTGCAAAACACTTTTTATGCTACCCACTAAATAAACTTAACTGATCCATCAGCGATCATGTGAAAATTTGTTTACATTCTTTAATGTGTTTTTTTTATGCTTTAAATAAACACTAGATAAAAGTGTATAACATCCTGCCATCCATTTAGTTGATGATAGTGACTAACTTGTGGGATTTTGTTTATGATGAGTGTTTCGTCCTATTTTAGGACTCATCAACAACAACCAACAGCAACAACAACAACAGACAACAATCAGCATAAATGGAAGGAATCTGAAAGAAACAACCTCCCTCACTCACCTACATGCTTGGGAAGCATCGTTTCAACTACAGGCGGACGAAACTGACGAGGATATCAAAGCAAGAATCGGGAAAGCGAGACAAGCTTTCACTACTCTCAAGTCTGTGTGGAGGTCAGCAGCACTCAGCATCAAAAATAAGATTCGGATTTTCAACTCCAATGTGAAGTCAGTGCTACTATACGGATCAGAGACTTGCACTGCGCGTCATAAAGAGCATCTGAAACAAACTACAGACCTTCATTAACAGTTGTCTTCACTCAATGCTCCCGATCAGATGGCCAGAAAGGATCAGCAATAGAGACCTCTGGGAGCGAACCAACCAGGAACCGATTGTGAAACAATTAGGCAGGAAGAAATGGAGATGGATTGGCTGGCCATACTCTGAGGAAATCATCAAGTGACATCACTAGACAAGCCATTGCTCGAGTGGAACCCAAAAGGGAAGCGGCGAGTTGGTCGTCAGTGCAAGGGTGAGGGTGACTTGGAGGAGGTCATGTGAAGAGGAGATGAAAGCGTGTGGGCAGACTTGGAGCCAGATGAAAACGGTGGCAGAGAACCGAACGCAATGGAGATGCACGGCTGAAGCCCTACGTTCCTCTAGGAATTAAGGGAAACAATAATAATAATAATAATTACTAAGTATACAATGACACTAGATACTGTTAAAAGTTCAGCGTAGGGGATATTGATTTTTGTAAAAATTGTGAAGAAGAGGCAGATATACTGGGACTTCAGGTGAACACAGAGAAGACGGAGGTGATGAAGACATCCGACCAATCACAGTCAGCGGAAGGCAGTACATAATTTGGAATTGTAAGACAGACCTTCAATACTCTCAAATCAGTATGGAAGTCTACTGCACTCATCATAAAGAACACGATTCGGATTTTCAACATTAATGGTAACCCGGTGATTTTATACACTTCAGATACTTGGCATAGGAATCACCAAAAACAAAGTGACTCTTAATGTGGGCATTTTGTTACACCTGGTAACCATGTATCTTAATCTCTTTTTTATCTCTATACTTCATAAATTTTCTCATTTCTCCTCATTCTTGTTAAGGATGCTGCTCAACTATTATTCGAAGCATTTTCTTATGCTCAAGAAGAAATTGTCTCAGTTACTACTGGTTTAACAACACTTTGCGTTGCATTAATACTGCCTGTATTACCAAAACAAATGGTAAATAATTCGAATCCAGTATACGATGAAACTGCTTCACCAGTTGGAAGATCTCAATTTGCTGTAATTATAGCAAGTGTTGGAGATTGTCAAGCATTTCTTTTGAGTAAATTTCATGGTATACGTGAAATTACCGGTTGGACACGCGCAGTTTTATCGTCTTCAGACGATTTAAACACAGAGTCGAATGGATTGAATAAATCAAACAAGATTAGTGAACCACCACCACCACCTGCAAGAGATTTTCGAGATACTGGTGGAGCACTAGGCGCTGTATACAAGAATGGTAAACCAGAATTGAATAATCTCATATGTGCTGGTAAGTTTGCATAATTTGATGCACTAGACATGCTGTAAAAAATGGTCCTATCTTACTGTATTTTTTCTTTTAATTTGAGTTGCCCCATTGGAAGAAATTATCACTATGGTGTATGAACTTGTAAACTGTTCGAACTGCCCTGTTGATTCTTCTTAGGTGAAGCAGGTTTATATTATCTCCCCTTTAACTTATTATATATCATCTAAATCACAAATGTGTCAAGCGAAATAACATACCATCATTACAGAGACACAAATGAACGAGATGAAGTGTTCAGGGATGTTGGTAAAGAGTTTCTTCGCATGAATTAAACTACACGCCGATGTGTAAGAGTCGTACATGGTTGCAATAGGCTGACTGAATAAAGAGTCAGCAAGAAACTTAAAATAGAAGTACACCAACTGAGCTTGTTACAGGATTGGTTACAAACTGACTTCAGCTAGAGAGGCATTAAAAACCAACAGTAACTACTGGACATTTGTTTTGTCCTAGTTTGGACTCTTCAATGGTACGCATGCGTGACCCCACCAGGGATCGAACCCATAACCTGGAGGTTATAAGGTGAGCTTGTATGCCATTCAGCCTCTGGGATGGATGGTGGTACAGATGTTAGGACGCTCGCCGACCATGCACATGGTCCGGGGTTCGAACCCTGGCCGCAGCACTCCTTTACCTCGCTAAGCCAGTAATTAAGCTGGTAAAGAGGAAAGGTTGGGTATGAGATTAGCAAACCCATCCTGTTAAAATAATCACCACTGTTACAGAAACTTCAAGCCTCTAGCTCTATGTTCCACTGGGAACATGAAGGAATAAACAAAATCAGTTTTAACTTCTACCAGTTAGCGACTTGTAGCGTGACCACCAACCGATATCATCGGCGAGTATCTGTTCTCACATCCAACTTGGTGCATGTCAGTGGTCACAACTATATCCTTTAGTCAGTCACTGGTGACTACTTGATTAACTCTGAAATGTTTGATTGCTGGGATTTAGTTGATTTCAAAAGTGACCACAAATTGACATCAGTTGTTACATTTCAAAACAGCACACATAAAAAGAATAGTATTGTAACAACAGAAGACAAGGATCAGGCAACAGATCGTTTATTAAGGAAAATCAACACATTTTAATAGATTTTAATATACATTATTGTAGATTATTGTTAGTAGAAAATACAGTCTTTTGATTTGTTGTTTCACACAGAAAGTTAACCTTGCATCTCTTTGTGGCTGTGTCAGATCATCCATATGCTAACTGTATCCGCCTACGCAAAGCCTTTGTTCTCATTTTCTCACCACCAATATTGGGGACATAAACACTGACGTCAATCACTGTCTACCAACTTTGGCTAGCAGCCAGCTCTCACCACAGTATTACGACAGACAAACATGAATATAATGAAGAGAATAATGAAATAAGCCTCGGTGGAACTTTCGAGAATCTACAAGAAGACGGGATTTTTTACGATTTTCAAGCATGTTACTAACAGTCAAAGTATCGTAGTAGTCCCCACCATTTCAGCTAAGCAGTAAGAAAGTCTACAGAATTATATTTCGCTCTGATTTACTCACTACAGCATTATTTTCTTTGCTTCAACACTAACCAGTACATAGTGTTTATGCTGTGCACATTGACATAAACAGGCTCAATTTAACATAACAGTCTTTTCTTTATAAAATGTCATTCAAGTTTACGTTCTGGGTTTTTTGAGATTTTGACCAACTCTGAGTTCGATTTCCTCACAAATTGATATCATTTAGAGAATCATTGAAAGCCAGGAACCACCGGATACCTGTTTTGTCATAGTTTAGGAAATTTTATCATTGCGCATACTTGACCAGACCATTCAGCTACCGGACTGTATTCCACTGAACCACGAATTCATGGTTTTGACCTCTGACGTAGTCATGGGTGTGCAGTGCTGATGGGTACCAAGCTAGGACAAAACAGCTGTGCACTGGTCTCTGATGTTCAATGATTCTTTTAATGAAATCAGTTGGCAAGAAAAAATCTACATTGAAATTAACTGAAGTTCCTTATTATTCTTATTCTTATTATTTCCATGAGTTCCAGTGGAATGAGCTTCAAAAGCAAATCCCCATCTCATCCTGCTGTGTGAAGTCCTTTTCGCCTGACTACACAACTGACCATAAACTTTCATCTTCTCTTCATATGTTCTTCTTCATGTCACCCTTGGATACACGCCCAACTCGTGACTCCCTGTCCGGTTTCCACTCGAGGGCGTGGGGCTTGATTTCAGTGACGAAGAGACCCAAACTAGGGCGAAACGGCTGTCCAGTACTCCCAGGTTTTCCAGTGGTTCTCTAACTGATGTCAGCTCATGATGAAATCCTCCATCCAATCAAACTAAATCCCTACAAAACCAATACTTGAAAATTAATCTGATGCTCACTAGCGACTGGCCCTATTCAGGCACTGACCTGGGAGTCTAGTGGGGAGGCCTCACCAGTAGGGTACAGCAGGTTGAAGATGAGGCAGTAACTCATCGAAGAAGACATTGCGAAATGGTCACGCTATGTCGTGAATTGGCAGAAGTTAGAATTGATGAGTTGGCCATTAGATCGGGTCCCAGTGGCTTAATGGTCAACGACCTCGCTAGCCTTGTAACCAGAAGGTCCTGGGTTCGAACTCTGGTGGGTGCGTACTACTGAAGAGTCTCAAACTAGGAAGAAACAGCTGTCCAGTACTCTCAGGTTTTCCAGTGGTTCTCTAACTGGTGTCAGCTCATGATGAAATCATCCATCCAATTAAACAGTATTAGTTACTAGTCAGACTAGAGTCATCTATACTCGGATGGTTTACCAGTAGAATACTTGACAACAACACATGTGATCCAGATTTGCATCCCCAACCGACACACCCTCCTAAACCTTACCTGGTTTTCTATCTAGCGAGAAGCCTAGAAAAGAGGGAGGGTTGGGCATGAGACCAGTAACCCTTCCCTATAAAACAGTATTACCACTAATGAAACTTCGAAGCTTGAAGCCTACTCGAAACTCAAAACAAATGGAAGACGATACTCTGGATGACCGTTTCGTTCATTTGTGATCAAGCCAATACTAGCTCAGAGAGTCGATTCATTTCAAAGAGCCCTGATTATAGCCAGCTGAACATTTTGAAGGGAAAATCCACCATGCTCTTTTTTCACTTAATACACCAAGCAGATCACCACCTATTTTTTATCTCTGATATGTCTGGTTTCCTTTGGTTTCCCGAAGCAAATCATGAGGAATATCTCACCTGTGACATGTATAATTTACAAATTATTATTGTTTCCTTTAATTCCTAGAGGAACATAGGGCTTCAGCCGTGCATCTCCATTGCGTTCGATTCTCTGCATAGCATTGTATAACTGACACTTTCCTTCCTTTGGAGTTGAATCTGGTGGTGTGTCATTATCCTGGGCGAGATCCCCTCCCGTTGCATCAGGGCCTTCGTTGCCGTTGGTGACATCATGATAGCCACGCCCTCGGTGTGCATGTGGTTATCCTCTGGGTGACCAGAGTAGATCACTGACTCACCCGTTGACAATTTGGTGAGTCCATTCCCATTCCATCTGCTTTCACATATCCCCAGTACTTGAGTTCCGTATCTTTTCATTTCGTTTGCGATCTGGACAGCTTTGCCAATCTCGTACATGGTTCGGACATTCCATGTCCCCACACAGACTTTTTCTTTTGGCGCAAGGAGATTCATCGTGCTGAAGTTTCTGTAGCAGTTTTGTTTACAGGGTGGGGTTGCTAGCCTCACGCCTGAGAAGGGGGATTGTTACATTAAAATATAGTTTAGAGAGAAGCAACCTTGTGAGTTGCTCCCCTTAAAACCAGGAAAGCAAGGAAGAAAACAGTCAAAACAGCATCAGCACAGGAAAATAAGTCACAACAAGAAGGGTAACAAGCGACAACAACAATAATAATATCACAGTCAAGTACAGTTAACCAAAATGATACCAAAATCATAGACTCACTGACTTGCGAATAACAAGTTTAAATCACATCTGTGTGATACACTTGTTACCTGTAGGCCAAAAACAAAACAAAAAAATCTACCAAACATTTACTTTCACAAAAATCTTACTTAGTAGTTAACCTACATCTGTTGTTTTAATATTCCTACTTGATTTGGCTATTTTACAGTCATCGAATTAGGTCAAAGTGGACATCATTGATTATTGCGTATGCCTTCATTGCCTATTTTCTCAATGCATAGTTAATTTCGAGTTTATATTCTATTTTAGTACACAGACCATGGAAACGAAGATAAGATAACATTCTCTAATCCTCTACTATATATCTGTAAATGAATGGCTAGACTGAATCAAAACCAGCAGGTGGTCTCTGGCTTGTATTTCTAATTATGGATTTTAGTAGTTTAAAAGTAGTCGACATAAATCAAGCTTTCTTATCTTGACAGTTGATCGGGGAATTAGTAGCTTTCTCATTTTTTTTAAATTATTGCATGTATATATATGTAGTCTTGTGATGTACAAAACACAATCTATACTGTTTTTGTGCAATAGGCTGGTTACATACATAAATTCTTTTTATAGCTCTTACTTCCCATAACTTAAAGCTGCCACACACACTTACACATATAATAGGTGTCTTATCGTGACAGATCACTCACTGGGAATCTACACATAATTTACAAATGAAGCAAATTTGGGAAATGACAAGAGTGGAAGTGAAATTTTCATTTCTAAAGTGTTTGCGTGTGTGTGTGTATGTGTGTGGAAACTTGAAGGTAAATAGTGTGATTAGAGATCATGTATTACAAACCACAACAAAAAAACAAAGACACACAAATTGATGATATTCACATGATTCCATGGGTTGTTTTTATTGTATTTAAAATTCTCTGAAAATTGTATAAATATACTTTCATCTGAATTTAATTGGTGGATGGTGACTAGCTGTGGAATCCAGGATAACGTGCATTTCGTCCTATTTGGGACTCGTCATCTGGATGTACCTGCATTC